CATGAGGGAGGCGGGCACTATGAAAGCCTAAGTTCTTACTATTCATGAGAGGGGCGGAGCTTTCCCCCCCGCTGGGGCTCCTGGGAGGATTCTAAAATATTCTTGAGGCCACGGGAGCGTCTGGGCGGCGGGAACGCTGCCCCTGAGCCGGCGGAGCGGGCGGAGCCGGACTCCCTCACTTCCTGGCGGAAAGACCTTGAGAAGATATTTTACTTTTAAACACTAAGAAACTTGAGGATGGTGGGGTAAAACGAATAAGTCCCATTTTCCTGTGACTCTTTGGCCGGAAAACTGTCAAAATCTGTGGTAAAAAGCGGGGGTTTTCCTCCCCAATACTTTCTTGAGATAATTTCATCTTTTCGTAGACGGAAGGGGTTAAAAAAATGCACCACCCAGGTGGTTTGATTCTCATAGTGACTAATTTGTCTTTTAGGTCTCCCTCGTTTGCCTCTTTGAGATATTTCGGGGGCTTATACACAAGCCCCTGGGTCTCTTCAAAGGATTTTGTATTGCTTTTTTACATTTTTTCCTCTGAAAAGAAGGGAAGAAAGTTCCTCCAATAGGGCCCTCAAAACCGAATTTCCCACGCGTAAGGATAGGGGAGGGAACGGGGCGGGGCACTGATTCTTATTCTAGAGGCATCTAGAAATAATTTGGGGTTACACCCTTTAGGGTTATCAGGAAGGCCTCCGTGTCCCCAGCAAAACGACCTGGTCTGAGAGGAAAGTAAGGAATTGGAAGACTTGAGTTTTAAAAGAATGTGGACCCGAGTTATTTTTAATTTTCTTAAAGCTTTAGTTGACACACCGAAGTCCCCCCCCACGGTGTGTCAGTTTTTGAAAAGCTCTCGCAGACCCCACCCAAGTCCCACTTTGCACAATTCCTCAGAGAAACAGGACAAATCTTAGGCCAGATTTATATCGTTTGTAGTTAAAATGCTTTAAAACGCCTACTGTGAGAGTTAAAAACAACCTCATGGATAAAATAAACTAGGATTCTTCTTGGTAGAATTATAGAATTACACGCAGCCACTGAGCTATGTGTCCTTGTAGAAGTATATTTATTGGCGTGGAAAGAGAATTCATTGAAAAAAGCAGATTACGAAAGCGATCTCCTTTTTTTATAAGAAAAAAAGTAGTAAAAAATGTGTAAAATTCTGTGGAGTGATACAAACCAAAGTGTTTCTAAGTGGATTTAATTTTCTCCTTTTTGTGTAGCTGATTTTCTATACTTTCTGACAAGTTATTTGTGTAATTTTAATGATTTTTATAATATCTGTTAATTGAAAAATTTACGGAGTGCTGAGGCAAAACAATGCCGTATAGTTTTAGAGGATGTTCAGGTTATGTTTTTCACTAAGCACTAAATTTCTTTGTCCTGTTTTCAAATGTATAACACATTTTAATTTGATGTAAGTTGATATGTAACCTTTTAAGATGAACAGGTAACAATGTGACTTTAGCAATTTTGTATGGAAAGGAGAAATTTTTTTTTTGCAGGTTTGGCCAGGGCTGGGCTTGAACCTGCCATCCCTGGTATAGGGGGCCAGTGCCCTACTCCTTGAGTCACAGGCGCGGACCGAAGGAGAAATTTTATTTTGGCTAGATAGATTTGTAACTCTGATGAAGTGTCTTAGTTATTACTTCAGAAACAAGAATCTTTACATTGAAATTATAGCTATTCATGTACAGAAGGTACTAAAAAATGTATATACACTTTAAGAGATGTTATCTATGTATTACTTTTCTTTTTCTTTCTTTCTTTCTTTTTTTTTTTTTTTTTTT